AAGGTTGGCATCCCTCTGACTCTATGCTACTGCTGGTCTACCCTTGGGCTACTCATGTTATTGTCCTGCATCCATGGTCTAACTACTTTTAAATCTCTTCAGACAAATTTTAAATGTACACAGGCTTTTGTAAAATAAACTAAGACAATTATTGCAAGCAATTGAGAGAAGAAAAAATTAATGACTAAGCCTAATATAAAATGATTTTGTTGAAAATGTGTTGCTGAAACTGTGCTAGATTGGTTACAGTCGTATATCTGGCTTTATTAAACTAATTTACAAAGGGTAACACTCTGCTCAACTGCCAGTGAGCTGCCTGCACATTCTGGAGCAACCGCGCATGGACCTGAGGTCACCATGCCCAATGCAACATCCCAAGAGGCATCAATCAATCAATCAACATTTATTTAAACTTGGAGTACATTGAGGGAGACCCGCATTTACAGTGTAGCCAAGCCAACTGAGAAGTAGCCATTAAGAAATTAAATAGTAAGAACATAATAAATGCTTAAAAGTAATAATAATCATAGTAGTAAATGTAAAAAAGGCAATAAACCATGAAAATTATAACAATATAGTAACTTAATAAATAAGATAAAATAAAGTAAGGATAAATAAAAAATAATTAAAGAAATAAATAAAGAAATAAAAGATGTATAAAGCACTGGGCCATTAAGCAGTGAAACCAAGTGATGGAGCACCATCCAATAGCTTTGGGATGAGCTGGAGTAGCTTTTGTAATCCAGAACTAATCATCCAACATCAATACCTAACCTCACTAATGCTCTTGTGGCACTGAATGCAGTCAAATTCACACAGCAAAGTTCCAACATCTAGTGTACAGCCTTCCCAGAAGAGTAGAAGCTGTTATTGCAGCAAAGTTAGAGCAAAGTCCCTTGAATACCCTTGATTTCAGAAGAAACACTGGATGAGCATGTGTCTAAAAACGTTTGGACATATTGTATAGCTCAACATGAACGTGTACAGTGATCTAGTTTTGAATGGCTCAGCCCTCAATAAGTCTGAGAGATACTTTACTCAAGTCTGAGTAAGCAGCATCCGGCTACCTGGTTAATATTAGCATTCCTCTGAACATTGGTTTCATCTTACTCCATTATCTTTATGTAGCATTTTAGTTAGTCCAAGCTCTTTTCATATTAATAGCCTTACCTTGTATCGTATTCTTGTCATTTCATTGGGCATCTGTAAAATTACGACAAAGACCTTTTGAGTTCACCGTACTTCACCTAGTTCTGCTCAGAAGTGCTTTTCACTGCTATGGGAATTACAGTCAGTTGTCTTTTTTCTTTTTGATCCACATCCAGGACCAAGGAACACTAATCAAGAATAAGAATGAGCTATACGATAGCTATGTAAACACACAGACACATACTGTAGAGCGTGAGTTGGTATTCAAGTGTAAAAAGGTAATGAATCACTAAATACTCATAGGTTAAGTCCTGCCTTCCCAGCAACAGGCTTTCAAAAACTCCATTCATCCCATTCCGTTTCTCTGTCTCTTCTGTTGTCTGCTCAGCCCAGATTCCACATCCTTCTCTCCTGACATCAGAGAGCCAGACAAATAGGGACTGAGACTTCCTGTAAAATAAAAACTTCAGTCACTTTCTCACCCATGGGTTCTAACAATTTTGGAGCACTCTAAATCTGAATTGCCTTGCTTTTACCAAGGTATTAGCATAGCCTGGTCCCTGTTCACATTTTTTCACTATTCGAGGGTAATCACTGACTCTCACTAAATACTTGAAAACATATTTTGCTCCTGTGAGAAAAAGAGGGAAACCTTTCTTCAAAGATCAGAGTTAAACATTTGCAGGTCTTTAGGCTGCATATTGGGCTCAAAACCAAGTCTCAAAAGCTACAAATAAACACCACCTCCCTGCCAACCAATAATTTGCGACAGAAAAAGAAGCCTTTGCTGTCACCTACAGTAAAATAATCACCACTGGTACTTTGATAGGATGGTCAGATGAGAATGATATGGCTTTCTGCCAACAAACGCCTGAGGCATAAAAAGAAGCATGGTCATGCAGAAAAAAAAACTCATCCTTGACATGAAGTTCTGTGGTGGATCTGTGATACGGCTGTTTTTCTTCTGAGGCCTTTTCGCTTGGGACACATGCCGTCTTGGGCTCTATCAAGATGTGAAAATTTAATGAAATTACATTTACCTCTGCTAGGAGGCTGAAACAGGGTATACTTAGATTCTTCAACAGGACAGTAATCCATAATTTCAAAAGCTGATTGACCACAGAATCAAACCTTTCCAGTGACTAGCATAGTCCTCAGACCTAAACCTCTTTGAAAACCTGTGGGCTGAGATGAAGAGGTGATTCCACCTAAGTTGACTGGATCTGGAGAGTTTTAGTTTACAGGAATCCATACATGTCATTCAGGATTGCAGGAGAATATTCAGTGCCGTTATATTGACATTTATTAAGTGTGTGGTACTGTGATTATTTATTTTATTGTGATTAGAATTTAGTCATATTTTCAGCACAAGATCAAACTGATAAATAATACAGTATACAACCCCATTTCCAAGAAGTTGTGTAATGCTGTCCAAAATGTAAATAAAAACAGAATGCAATGATGTGTAAATTAATTAAACCCTATAAAATATATATATAAATAGAGCAAAGACAACATATGAAATGTTGAAACTGAGAAATTGTATTTTTTTTTTATTTATGCCCATTTGAATCTGATGCCTGCAACACATAATAAAAGAGTTGGAATGGGACAACAAAGAGTGGTAAAGTTGTGCAATGCTAAAAAAAACACTTGGTCCAACATCACAACTAACTAGATTAATTTACAACAAGTCAGTAACATGGTTAGGTATAAAAAGAGTCTTTCAGAAGTAAAGATGACGAGGGGTGCACCACTCTGTGAAAGACTGCATGTTTCCCAAAATAAAATAGCAAAGAACTCTTATATCATATATGGTACATAATATCATTAGAAGATTCAGAGAATCCAGAAAAATCTCTGTATGAAGAAGCCAAAATGGCCAAAAAACAATATTGGATTGGGCCTTCAGGTGGCACTGCATTAAAAACGAACCTGATTCTGTAGTGGAAATGTACTGCATGGACTCAGGAACCTTGCCGAAATCTATTGTCCGTGAACACAGTCAATCACTGCATCCACAAATACAAGTTAAAACTCTACCATGCAAAGAAGAAACAATGTATAAACGGGATCCAGAAACACTGCCGCCTTCTCTGGGCCTGAGCTCATTTAAGATGGACTGAGGTGAAGTGGAAAAGTGTCCTGTGGTCCGATGAATTGAAATTAAATTCTTTTTGGAAATCATGGATGCCGTGTACTCCAGGCTAAATAGGAGAGGGACCATCCGGCTTGTCATCAATGCACACTTCAAAGGCCAGCATTGGTTATGGTATGGGGTGCATTAGTGCGCATGACATTAGTGACTTGCACAACTATGAAGGCACCATTAATGCTGAATGATATATACAGGTTTTGGAGCAATGTGTGCTGCCATCCAGATGACATCTTTTTCAGGGAAGGCCTTGCTTATCTTAGTAAGACAACACCAAACCATATTTTGCAAGTATAATAACAGTATGGCTCTGTAATAAAAGATTCTAGATGTCTAGACTGACCTGCCTGCAGTCCAGACCTGTCACCCACTGAAAACATTTGGCACATTATGAAACATTGAGCAGCTAAAATCAAGCAAGAATGGAGAAAACATTTTACTTTCAAAACTACAGGAATTGGTCTCCTCAGTTCCCAAACGCATATTGTTAAAAGAAGAGGTGATGCAGCACAGTGGTAAACATGCCCCCGTCACAACTTTTTTGAAATGTCTCGCTAGAGTTACATTCAAAATAGGCATATATTTTTCAAAAAACAATAAAATCTCTCAGTTTCAATATTTGATATGTTGCCTTTGTAGTATTTTTAATTAAAAATAGGATTTGAAAGATTTGCACATTATTGCATTCTGTTTTTATTTACATTTTGCACAGCATCCCAACTTTTTTGGAAACAGTTTTACAATAGAATACTTTTTTGTGTCCTTGTTTATTCATTTTTACCAAGCATACCAATTATTTAGAAGGGGCCTCAGCATAAAATCTAGACAATCTCAGCATAAACCTAGACAAAACTTCTATGATCTCATAACATCTCTACCACCAGAACCTGCAGATACCTTCTTCACAACATCGGAATAATATGACTCTTCTTCACTGCAGAGACTGCTGAAATTTTTGTTCAACCTTCAGACTGGGCTATTGAAATGGTCTTCTTATAGGCCTTCCTCCATAAGGCATTCCTCGTCTACAGAGCATTTAGTATGCTGCAGCTTGTCTGGTTCACAACCTCTAGTTCTCATCTACTGCGATCACTTCTCTGGTTTTTCATATTCTTTGGTGCAGTGTAGAACCCACAGGGCCAATCTAAAATTATTTTCAGTACAGGTTTGGAATTTTGGTTGTGTGAATTTCGTTGTTTCACATAAATAAATTAAATAGGTGAAGTAATGTGAAATAACTCATTTTACTACATACAGCATGTATTTAAGTCAATGGTAATCAGATCAAATCTTATAGATGGATGCATGTATTTTATCTGCTGGACACATGCATCACACGTTGTTTGGATTTGACTCTCTATTTGGAGGTGGAAGACCGAGTGACCAGGCGCCCTGCTGTATAAGCAATGATAAGGCGCTTCTTAATGTGTTTGCACAGGGGCTGAAGGAGAAAGGGCCTCTGACGCAGAAGGGCCCGTTGCCTGCTGCCTTCTTCACAATGGAGGGCCCCGACGCCAAACACAGTCCTAAATGTCACACCGACGCCCCGCCTAGGCAGGGAGGGGCATATGGCCGGATTGGACGGTGCTAACGCAGGTGGTGACTCCACACCCAGGCCGTGTCTGGTTTAAAATGCCTGATGGAGCCTGCGTGCTGATAGAGAAAGCGAAGTCGAACACTGACATAGCCCCCACACTCGACAAGCCTTCTGATCGTAGGGGCGCATCAGCATAACAAGTGTGGCAAGTGTGTGTTTCACACGAACAGATGAGATATTAAGAACAGAATCTATAAAAACTAAAATTTAGACTCTGCTGTAGACAGTGCTTTTGCCAGGTGTGAGGAAGCTAGAGGATCCTAAGTTAAAAAAGTTAGACTTGCATATCTAAACGACGCAGACATGCAGAAGAGAGAGATGCTGAAACTAATGACAGCAGTAACACTGTTGATTTCAGCTCCAGCTATGGATGCTGCACCATGGGTTTCAGAGGCACCAGATCATCAACAGGTGCCATTAAATAGAGGTAAGTCTGAAAGATCTTAATTTTTTTTAAGTTTCTTGGAAACATCTACTAATAATTTTCTAGTACTTGTGGACAGAAGTCCAATGAAAGCATTGCCTGCCTAAGTGATCAGTTCTCATCCTTAACCATTACTTTCAAGATTAGAGAATAGTTTAGCGAATTAAAGGCTATTCAACATATGAGGTGGTAGTATTTTGATTTTCACATAGTTTTGTTGCCAGGGAGAGGCACAGGCCCTAGACATCAAATATACTACTGGTGCCTGATGTTGAATGGCCTTAAATGGCCCAAGGTTTCATTGTGGTGTGGTATCATAAATCTATCATTCCAGGACAGGAAACGAGACTTCTTGGCACAAACTGGCTAATTGATTAAGATTTGGAGTGGATTACATAATAGATGAATAAGGCCACTGCAGTATATCTTTCAAAGGCTCTCTAGAGCAGGGTTACCCAATGGGAGGACCAAAGCTGGACCGTGAGGATGTTTGATTTGGCCAGAGAGTTACCCAAATCCCACCTCTTCACCCAATAAGAGAACAAAAATATTTTTATACCATACCATACATACCAATTTATTAAATTCTTATTTACGTTTTAAAATTATATGAAGCATTTTAGTAAGTATTTTAGTTACAAAATGTGTAACTCTTGTACACAAGAGTGTAATCTTATGAAATGAACCTACCTACCTTCTTTTTTGTGTATTGTCTTTTTGGTCCTTGGCCGACCACAAACAACACATTTTGCTCCCCCAAGGCAAAAAGTTTGGGAACCCCTGCTCTAGAGTACTAATAAAGAACCTAAGGTAAATTACATGGCTTGAATAGAGTATTTGTAAAAAACCTTGAAAAAGGTTCTCTCCAAGCAGTTTTTATGAAGTGGCATTTTCAGCAAGAACAGGTCATGATGTGCATTCATGACCACAAACTAGCCTGTGACGCCATCAGGTCTGTCTTGCCATTTCCCATAGCAACTGCCACCGTCAGCAAGGCTGTATGTACATTTCTTCTTATGAGTGTGTACAAGCAATTTGTCTTTGTCTACCTCTAGTATGGTGAAACAGAAAAGGTTCAGAAGTTCTTTTGAAAGTTTTCAAGATATTTTGACTTCTGTCCCCATGTACTGAGTACCAGGCCTGTTTTCCTTTTTCTGGGTACATTAGAAATCTTTTAAGCTCCAATAATCCATTATTATTAATGGCACGTAATATGTAATAGCAGTGAACGGTTGTGTTGAATATAATTTTAAAACATATATCAAAACTACTTTGTTTGATGCCCTGTGACTTATTTATTGAAGTTATTATTATTCAAAGGTGACCAAAAATCACCAGACCCTTGGACAAGTGGTCCAGATATCAAGGGGATGACGGCAACAGGCAGTTTTGCTAAGCTTCTGAAAACAGGACCAGTGACGATGTTTTCTAATGGGCACGGAAAGACAGTAGGAGCTTCACATAGATTAGACAAAACCACAAGTAGTCCAAGTTATATGGACAAAACCATGGTGGCAACTAACAGTCTAGACAGACAATTGAAAATTGCTTCAGTGACAATCGATTCAGATGAACAAGAGAAGATTGTGCCAGCAACTAACAACTTTGATGGAGGCCTTAAGATACACTCTATGATGGATGACTCTGAAACAAAGGAGCACACCACAACAGAAGGTTTTTACAGACGACTGAAACTAATGCCTGTGACAACTCATTCAAATAAACAAAGCAAAACTTTGCAAGCGACCAAGAGGGCGCAGATGAGTATGTCCAGTAGCAGCCCAGATAGACGAGAGAAGATAAGGAAGATGCTGAGTGCTCTTGAGGAGCTTCATAGGTCGATGAATAGCACACTGAGCAGCCGCATTACTATCATACCTAGAGGTAAAGAAAAAGGGGGAGCTTGAAGAACAATTTTTTTATAGCAAACCCAAACTCTGATTCACAGTCTTCTTATACTTCCACCTGACGATGTTAAAATAATTTTGCTGTACTGAGAATATATTGATAATAAAGTAACTATTAAACTGCATTATCTAATTTGCCATGTGACAAAATTGGATCCCCAATGGCTTGCACCTCGTCCTCACCAGGTACAAAAGAGTAAGACTATCTTTTCTGGTCTGTTTCAAGGTAATAGTAATGGTCGAAGTTCAGGAAAGAAGAGTAAAATGGTATGTTCATGTAAAATTGATTATACACATTAATGGATACCTAACTATTCTAACATTAATTAAGTTATTAAATAACTTAAAATATTTTTTCTGATTTTTTTGTCATCATTACAGGTAGTGACAGAGGGGAACCTGAAATCAACTACTGTGCCATCTGTGGGCAGCAGTGGCACGTCACCAAGGACCAGCACTGACCAAGCCGATCCCAAACTCCTGAATGGGAAAACGTTCAAAAAGTCCTTACCATCAACTCCCAAGAAAACCAACAAAAGGGGTGAGACAAAATTAAGCTCACTGTACAGGTCGTTAAGGTAACAGCGTGCATAATATGATAAGCTGCATGCATAGCTAACTTAGTATAGTTGATTTTTATGTCCACTTAAGGCAAAGTAATTATACTGACTTGTTATTCTTTTTTTTCTTTTTACAGTTTGTTTCTGGAAATACTGCTCTCAGAATTAAAGCTTCACCATTGTCCACACTTTCTGCCAACATCTAATGCTCATAAGCAAGCAACTCTAAGGGCACTTTACACTGACACATCAGTAACATGACTTAACCCTTGACCTCCCGTGACGTGTGTATGCTTATTGCACGAAACCTTTTTAACCCCCCTCCATCTGCAAGTGACCGCTGTATGACATCCAATAAAAATTTACAAGCATGCAAAAACAAAAGCCCCGATAATAAAGAGAATTTTATTTTTGTACATCCCTTTCTTGGTGATCATTGTGACATGATGAAGGAACTTTGAGAGGTTCACAGAGGTCAGGTATGTGTTGTGTAAACTGAGTCCGCTCTTTTCCTCCTGTTCAGCCCTTTTTATATTTTCTAAATGTTTGCTCAAGCTCTAGCCCAGATTCTCTTCGTGGAGGTCTCTGTGGTGACAAAGTATATTTAGTAACCCATAAAGCCAAGCTGTTGATATTATGGCTTTAAAAGTGATTTGATTGTTCAGAGGACTGCTAACACGGTCACCTCGACAACCAGTTAACAAGGTTCTCCAAGTCTATGGGAGAGCCAGTCGAGAGAGAAAAAAAAGAGAAAATCAGCAGGATAAGTAGAGGAATGATGAGAGATTTGGATCCAACGTGTCTGCCGACCTTTCTTCCCCTTTTGTCCTGTCTTCTCTTCTCTTTTTCCACACTAGGTTTGATACAGGCAGAATAAAAGCGAATGGGACTGAAATGGGACAGAAACTGCAAGCAAAGCTCAAACTCTCATGATTAGAGGGTCAAGGAAACAAGATAATAAATACACAAAACGCTTTTGAAAATGTTTTTAATCGGTTTAATTAAAGTCTCCATTTCAAAGCTCATTCCAACAAGATTACAGACTTGAAGTAGGTATTAACAAGCATTTGCAAAGTAATAAAAAAAGTATTTTTCTCTCTCAGATTTAATAGACAAAACAGTAGAACACAAAGAAATAATCAATTCTCAGAAACCGAAATACAGTAGAGCTGTCACCTTAATATAAAAGAGTAATAAGGAAAATGAACCAAGTTATTGCATTAATGCATGACAATTATCATGAAATATAAGTAGAAAACATACATGACTGTCTAGGCCTGACCATAGAAGTAATATATATATATATACTCATTTGCACCTACTTCTAGCTTCAGATAAAAATATGCAGGCAAATACTAAAACAGAACAAATAGCGAGACAAATGCATCAATTGGCTAGATTTATTGGTCATGAGAGTACTTTTGTACAGAGATCAAGGCGTTGTACTTTGAGTTAGTACGTTGGAAGAAAAATAACAAGATGAATGACACTTGACAAGTCTTAGTACTATACGCAAAACCTAATGTTTTTAACTTGGCCCTGCCATTGACTATGAAAAAAGACAGCAACCTTAGTCTCTACATAAAAATGCCTACAGAAACTGCCTAACTAATCAGAACATGCAATATAGTATTTTTAACAATGTAGCCCCAGCAGTGAGTGCACTCTCTCACTCATGCTTTCTCATTCACATACACACATACCAATTCACACAGTAATCTAAATTGCACATCCATCCATCCATCCATCCATCCATCATCTAAACCGCTTATCCTTCTGGGTCGCAGTGGGGTGCTGGAGCCTATCCCAGCTGTCATTGGGCAGAAGGCAGGATACAGGTCGCCAGTCCATCGCAGGGCAGACAGACAGACATACACATTCACTCACACCTAGGGGCAATTTAGCATGTCCAATTGGCCTGACTGCATGTTTTTGGACTGTGGGAGGAAACCGGAGTACCCGGAGGAAACCCACACAGACACGGGGAGAACATGCAAACTCCACACAGAAATGACCCTGGTCACCCGGCCGGGAATCGAACCCAGGCCCTTCTTGCTGTGAGGCGACAGCGCTACCCACTGTGCCACCGTGCCGCTAAATTGCACATGTACACCTTAAAAATAAAGGTTCCTAAATGGTTCTTGGACATAAAGCTCTGGGAAAATTTGTTGAAGACTCTTTACATTATGTGGAATTATGTGGTCTCATTTACAAAGTGGTTGTTTGAAGGACCGTCAGTTGAAAAGTTCTTTGTATGGGCATAACAATTCACAGAATTCACAAGAAATGGGGTTTGATATGACATAGTGCCTTGATTCATTTTTTAAAACAGCCCTGTCTCAATGGTCACCAACATTCTTCCTGGAGATCTACTCTCTAACATCTAACATGCTGCCTCCGTTTCCAAACACTAATTCAGCTGACCCAGACTTCTGAAGAAATGAATTAGCTGGAGCAGGTGTAGCTGATTGTGGTTGAAACTACAGTTCACAGAAAGGTAAATCTCCAGGACCAGGGTTGGTGACCTCTGCCTTATATTAATATTTCCATTTTCAAACTATTAGAGCATAAAACAACAATTGAGATTTAGAATGGCACTGTGGAGTTTCTTAGAAGTACAGAAACACTAAACAAGAGCCCAATCTAACGCTCTAGCTGCAAGTGAATATGTTAGCCCCCGGCTAATAGAGTAGCCACAAGCTAACTTACTACCTATGATACAACAAAACATTATGATACATTATGATACATTTTGTGTTGTTACACCCCTAATTCTGGGGACCAAAAGTGTTTTTTTTTCTGTGGCATCGCTCTGAAGAATCATTTATGGCAACTGTATTTTTAAGAGTGTACATCTGTTTATGCCAAATTTATTTGATCTTTTTGGCGACGTCCAAGTAGGCAAACTCAATCTCTCGTTCTGCAGGGCAGGTGTTGATGAACTCTTCTCTCTGGTAGGCAGAGTTCAGGTAGCGCCAAATCCCTTTCATATCAGCTGGAATCTCGAAACCTCTATACTTCTTCGCAACAATCTGAGACAAAGTATAATAATACAGTGACTAAGAAACATCAGAATTGTATGTAACACGTTTCCTCATGTCTGAGGTGAGATGTGCATGATCTAAAATATATATAAAGTCAACATACAAATACTGGAGACATCTGATATGAATTTGCAACATGTTTCTAGACATGTCCTACAATACATTTTACTGTGTCCAAATCAAATACCTAAAACCAGTAACTTTGGAGGCGATGTACCCAGTCAGTATACAGTGCCCTCCACAAAATTTGGCACCCCTGGTAAACATGAGCACAATGGGGTGCATAAAAATTCTTTATTGCTTATCCTTTTGATCTTTCATTTAAAATATTAACCAAAATCTAACATTTATTTAAAGTACAATGATTGAAAGAATAAAAGCTAAATCTTTTTATTAAATATTTTTTTTTCCTCAAATCTATGCGTGCCACAGTTGTTGGCACCCATTCATTCAATACTTTTGTAGCCTCCCTTTGCAAAGTTAACAGCTCTGAGTCTTTTCCTATAATGCTTAAAGACCTTTAGAGTCTGAGGACCATACTTGTAGAATCTCCTCTTCAGCTGATTCCACAGGTTTTCTATGGGGTTTAGGTTAGAGGACTGAAATGGCCTTAGCAAAACCTTAATTCTGTGGGCACTGATCCATTTTTGTGTTGATTTTGAGGTGTGCTTTTAATCATTGTCCTGCTGGAAGACCACGGCCCAGATTAAGCTACCTGGTTGAGGCAGGCAGGTTTTGATGTAACATGCCTGCTGGTACTTCATGGAGTCTACGATACCATGTATCCGAATAAGTTGTCTAGTGCCTTTGGAAGAAAAGCAGCTCCAGAACATCACGGATCCACCACCATACTTCACAGTGGGGATGACACATAGGTATAAAGACAAATATTTATTTCATAGTAAGATTTAGGTTGTTCTTTCTGTCACTGTATGTCAAAAAACCTTATATTTTTGCTAGTATTTTGAATAAAAGATCAAAAGGACAAGTAATAAAGGATGTTTTAAAGCTTGTTTTGCTCATGTTTAACAGGGGTGCCAATATTGGCCCAATTTAAGTTTTCTGCCTGAGGCAGACAGGTTTTGATGTAACATCTGCTGGTACTTGATGGAGACTGTGATACCATGTATCCAAACAAGTTGTCCAGAGCCTTTGGAATAAAAACAGCCCCACAAAAACAGAAGCGAACTGGATTTAACATGATTTTTGATATCAAGAAAGCTGTAGTTGTGCTGTCTGTTTCGGTTTCTTCTCACTCCCCTCACCCCTCATTGGTCTCTAGCAGCTCAACACAACATTTCACAAACAGAAAGCCAACCGTGTCTAGTGTTTAGTTAATCTGATATCAGAGTTACAGAGAAAAAGCTGTTTTTCATTATATTCATAAAAAATATTCAAGACAATTACCATTATGCTGATGTAATGGACACTAGGGAGCCAGCTGAAAGAGGCATCCTCTGCACCAAAACACATGATCCAACTCATTGACAGACTGTCAAGCCATTCATGAATTAAATCAGTGGGTGCTGGGGATTGCCACTTTAACACTCTGTGGTGTAATCACAGAGAATAGGATTAAATACCTTGATAATGTGTAGTTTTGGAAGTAGGTTACAGTCAGCCAGAGTCAGGTCTGGTCCATCTAGGAAGCTGCGTGTGGATGGTGCTGGGTCATCGGTGCTGTTGGCATCAATCTCCTCTGGCAAAGGAAACTGTAAATACTCATCCAATCTCTTCAGAGATTTCAATAGAGCCTTTTCCAAGCCTAAGCAATAATAAACAAGAACAAGACTCTAAAACATAACAAAGACATATACAGTACTATGCAAAAGTCTTTGACCACTCATGGTTTACTTTATTTCCAGTCAATATGGCTATTAAGTACAAGTTATTTATTTTTCAAGAGATATTTCTGAAGGAATTAGATAAAAGATAATCCCCTTATATAAGAGAAAGAAAATGAAAATATATCCAATACATACAATACAAGGAAGCGTAAATTATTAAAAGAAACAGAGAAATTTGGATTCCTAACAATTGTACAAGACCAAAGTTACATAAGATAAATAGTACCTAAAGCTTTAATGTTTGAGAGATGGGAGAAAATCAAACTCCACTCTTGCTTCAGATCTGAAAAAAAATCCATCCTTTCACTGAGACAAGATTGCTATGAGACTGAAAGTATGTGTAGCTGCCAAGAAGCTGATACTGGGAAAAGGAAATAGACAAAAAGAACAAACAGAGAACCTGCTAATGTTCTCAGAACATTGGACTGTCCACCCCAGAGCCCAGACCAGAGCCAGCCCAGATAACTGAATGCATTTGGGATTACTTGGATTGTGAGAAGAGCAAAATACAACAAACTTCTAAGACTTTGTAATTGTGGAAAAAAAAATATCCCTGCCAATTTCTTTGAAAGCAAGTCTCGCAAAAAGTATGAAAGCTGCAATAAAACTAAATTCTTGCACTCTGAATACTGAAAAAAATGTAAATTATATTTAGTTGTTGAGGCTTCTGTGCAATTTTCAGTTGAATATGTTTTCTGTTTTTCTCCTGATGCTGAAAAGCGCATACCTTAATTGCAGTTTTGACTGGAAATTTATTAAATGAAGCGGAGTCTCTGAGTTTTGCCCAGTACTATTTGCTTACTTTTTTGAAAACTTTGAAAACTGGACTACTAAAGATTACAAAAGAATGGCTAGCCATCTTGCTGATCATAATTATTTACCATCATTTGCCTCTTTCCGAGGGTTCTTGATATATGCAGAAAACTTGGCAAATACATCTATTCCTGCTGTGTTTGACCCTGGGTGCTTGGCAGCCAACTTTGGGTACCTTTAGAAGCAAGGTAAATCAGAAGACCAAAAATTGGGCAATGAAGCAGCATTCTTTTTCATGACAACAGCACTGTAATCTTTCAAGATTTGGATGAACAGGAGAATTTAATATCTTGCCCAGTACCTTGGTGGCACAAGCCTTTCCTCAAGAAATTCCTCGATCTTGTTAACATCCACCAGTACTTCACCATTAAAGGTCATAAAAGGTGGGTTGGTGCCTGGGGCAAGGTCCTGCAGGTCAGCTGGTTTCCTGCACGATGCACATCAACAAATCTGTCAATCAGCACATCTAACAAAGCTCTCACAAACATAATTCACCACAAGTCACAGGATCTGCTCATATCGCTGGGACAGAGTGTTCATTCAGATTTTTTGCAAAATTGGAGACAGTTAGAGAGAAAGTGAAATTACCTCTTGAGATCCACAGTAGTGACATTGAAAATGACTCCCTTTAGCCAAAGGATCATAAAAAGCCTCTGGGAGAAAGGACAGTTTCCAATACTTTCTCCATCACTTCCTGCCTGCAAAATTCAATACAGTACAATCTCAGTGAAAAGGTAACCGTGAGAAGTCAGATCCTAAGCTTTAAGGTGCTTAAGGTAATCCCAAATTTTAGATCATAAACAGAAGATTACATATTTTATTATGGTTTGAATTTAATGGAATGTTGTTGTGGGTACAGTCTTGTAAAAAAGGCATAATTTACATTTTTGCCATGTTTTTGTCATGTCTTAAAGTCAACCTGAAATCTGAAAATTGACCTTTTTGTTCTTGTCATATTAAGCATGATTCACTATGTCATTTAAAAGAAAACTTTTTTGGGTTTCCTGTGATCTTTGATCAAGAAGGAGTGACTAAAGGAAAGGAGTTTCACCTCCCCCTCCTACCACCCTGATATACCATCAAGCAATAACACTCAGCTCAGAGAGACCTTCCCAGATATTGCATTTCAAGTCATAGTCAATAAATTCAACTGGGTGTAAATTTGTGTGAGCCTATATGCCAACATATCAATCAGTTCTTCATGCCCAGATGATTCTGTGTTTGAGTAAAAAAAAATATACTCTTTTATTCATTCTAGACATTTTGAGCTTTTAGAGATAACATGTTGTGTAGGATCTCTAGCTTGTTTATTTACTTAGGTTTACTTTGAGCGGTAACCCCAAGAAAAAACACAGCTTCCTAAATTTCTTAAAACCTTTATGTGAACAGAGGGCAGTATAAAACAGCTTAGCCTCCTGTCAGACCACCCACTGCTGTAACCATAGGCTTATAACAATTGGCTTAATTAAATTTTCCAAATAACTGTCAGACTCTGTGTTTTTGAAAGAGATTTAGGTCATGTCAAAAAAGCATACAAATTTTCAAAAATATATATAGCCAGCTTGATAATTTAATGTTCTGCTAAAGTTTAACTCATTGTAACTGTACCCAGAAATGCTCTGTAATCATATCAGTCTAAACAGATTAAAGTCACAGTGGTATGAAACATTCAGAAAAAAGGGCAAGAGCAAAATGTAGTGCATTTTGTGCCCAACTTGCTAGATGTTTCAATAAACTGGGGATGAAAGTGATTCTCATTAGAGCTCCTCTGAGATCCACTTTATTATGTAGGTTTAATGTGTATTACCATTTGACAAATTCCCAGGGAAAAGCATCTCTTTCCATTTAAACTCTTGCAAACCATTTTTGTCCATCCTTTCATTTAAGTCAAATAAGCCTATGCATGTCTGACGGCAAAAAATCATAAAAACGACCCTTGTCTTACTTAATGTATTCAGTATAAGGAACGTCTTACCTTCACAAACAGTTCAATAGTGGGAAATCCAAACTTTTTAGCTGCTATATCAAACCAAGCCATTGTTCAAGGTTTCAAAATTAAAGTCATTAGAGGACACACTAAAGTTGTTTCTTCCTCACATCTGACCTTTTACAGATCCCAAATTTTACCATTTCCGTATGGAATAGTTTTTCAATTTTGCAAAAATTAAGACTCCCATCCTTTCTATTATACTATGAAAGATCAATGTCCAAAAAATATATATTTTTCTTATTGTTGCTATGTTGTATGTTCTAATGCTCTAATGCTCTCCCATGTGAAATGGGCTAAAATATGCTGTCTGAGACAGCTAGATGCCTGAATAAAACACTTGGTCTTTGTTATTGCATACAGACATCAATAGTTGGCTTGTTTATGAGCTACAGTCTTGTGAACATTTCATGTAGGCAAGTGGAATTCAAAGCTCTTTGCACTGAAATAGACACACAGGAGCTCTATCACAGCCTAGTAATAGGCCTGCTTTTACTACACTGCAACAATGCAATTTCAAAGCTACACCAACTTACTTTTAATTCCACAGATTTTAAAACATTTCGACATAAATAAATTGTTGAGATGTACATATTCATAATTTTAATGTGAAATGGTGCACTGCAGAGAAATGTACCAACTCTAAAGGTTTCTTTACAGTGGTGGTGACAGGTACCAGAGGTTGCAATGTCTACAGTGCAAATATAGCCATTATATTTACTTTCCAGAACAGCAAAGCTACATGTCTTCTGTGACCATATATGTAGCATTGATAATGTTAAAACAATGGTAAAACTTCATGGACCTCTCTACAATGCAGGATTGATAAAAATGTTTTAGGCTAAAACTTTCTCTTGAAACTATTGTAAAATTATGTCTCAGGCAATGTATATAACAACAAACAATAACAGAGTACGGGGCGTAGTCACCCAGAATTCCTAGCAGGATGGTTTATTATTAAAGGGCCCATATCCTACATTTACCACGTTAACATGTAATATGTCCACTTATAACATTAATGTGGTTTTATATACCAAAAATGATATATAATTCATTTTTTCTTGACCATTGTTATTGTGTCTTTAAACTGATATATAATTGAGCTCTGTTCTAACTGGCTGCCTTGTATTGTGCCTCATGTTAAAGCAAAATGGCCTGAAACACTCCTTACTTGAGCAAGAATGGGTGGGGCTAAACTCCTGTAGGCTGACTAGGCTATTATAAGTAAACACGCGCACGCGTGTGTGTGTGTGTTTTTTTGTTTTTTTTTTTGGGACCATATGCTTTTTTTGTATCATATGTCATATCATTGAAGCAGTAAATTCAAAATGGGATGTTTTTGCAGCCAGGTTTCCATACTTGGACTGTAAAAACTGAGGAGTGAAAAGTATGTTTTGAAAGTTTACATACTACATGAAACACTTTAATATCAAGAAAGTGATGAAAAATCCATTCTATTTTCAATGCTATGGGTCATTTAAACAATCTTTGCTGTAAGTGAGATGTGCAAGGAATGTGTAAGAATTATTTTAAAACATAATGAACATCCATATGATGTAAAGTTTGTATCACACCTAAAGTTTGTGTCACACCTACATTACACAAGAGGCCACTCACGGCATAAGGGGAGGATAGAACAGTGAGGAGCGGATTCAAACTGAACGTACTAGCCCGTTAGCCATGCAAACTTTGCAATGCAAAACATTTTTTGAGAAAATTGAACATCAAAAAAAATATGTGAATCATTGCTTTGTCTGTAAGTAACCTGGTCTTGAAGTGTAGTGTAGCGCTTTTCTTTTTTGTTGTTGTTAGTCTTTAGCATGCTTACTAGCCAGCTAGCAGATGAAACTGATGAAGTTGTATCAGCAGTTATGTGTAAGAGATGGAGTAGTTTGTAACTTATAGCCCAGCAATTGAATGTTATGTGTTTGAAATTTTGAGCATTTTAAAGTACTTTACTGCTTTGGCCGCTATTATTTTCAGGTTTGAAAAAGGAAATATGTCACATCACAGTGTTTTTTGGGCAAGTTCTGCTGCTGAAGTCAACACTTGCGTTCACTTAATCCCTCATCTTACACCCTTCACTTGAACTAATAAAGTAATGGCACCCTTAAGATGGCACCCAGGGATTCCCCTGAGGGAAATGACAAGGGCAAGTGGACGAGGGCTTGTTAAAACTGAAATGGGCAATAACAGTGTTTGGAAAAGATCATAAATACACAAGTTTACGATCACTGGAGGCTGAAGAAATGATTGTGAGGCCTTGACGCTCAAGGTTAAGCAAGCTGCAGTGACAGTCTAAAAATGGTACACTAAACTCTAGGGTACAGAACAGGTGCAGTGAGCAATGGGGGAGGGTGGCTAAATGAGCCATTCTATGTCAAACCAAGGGTCACCAAATGGGGGCACTGGAGACTTTCTTTCCTTATAATTTTAGAATCTATTCTGTGAAAGCATGCTTCAGATTCATAAAAATACTATGTGTTCTTTATGTGTTGTGTACTTAGAGGTAACAAAGGCTCATCATGGATCAGCGGCTTAACTCTTTCAAAATGCCTTTAAGTCATAAGAGGCTGAAAATCTCAATCAGTGCCTGCCTATCCATGTGTCAGTGGCAAGCTCATTTGAGCACGTGGCAAAATCCTCAGCGTTGGCTTAACACCTATAGTGTTCAAGTAACACCTAAAGTGTCCATGTAAATCCAGCAGGACACAAATAAATACAGTTGAATACTGTAAAAGTTAATTCAACACCTGGGCTTTTCCCGTTCAATATAGCTGCTAACAGCAAAACTCACACATAGACCTTTGCTAGCAGGAGCTCTTATGTAAAGGGTTAGACCCCACCCCCACAATCAACCACTCCATCCCATAACAGGTCCAGACCAGCAAACATCTTAATGAGATTAGTTTAGAGGCATGCAGAGCAATAGAGAGATTAACTCTGCACTCTTCTGAGCATTTTGCAAGGACACTTAATGGGACTTCTCAATGGCTGATCTTCAACAACCAAATCAAAGGCACATAAATTAACTGTACAGAACTGTGTACAGTTCTTAAAGCAGAGTTGCTGGCAGCCAACATAGTTTCCAAGTTATGTAAACAGTCATCTAATTGCATTGATTCATCGTTCATCTTAAGCAACACTACTTTGTGACAGTTGGATGAGGCTGTTTTGTGCATGACCCCAAACAGCTAACAAGGCTGTAAAGGAGGCCTTAATGTCAGTTCTGTCTCCAAGCTAAAATAAATAAGATAAATAGGTAAATAAACAAACAAATAAATTCAGACAATAGACGTCTTTGTTTTGGGAACCGCTTTGCACAGACCCAAGGGGAGGTTTATTAGGACATTTTTACTAGGCTTAAAACCCTACTGCTCAGCCACTTTCATTTCACAGGAATTTAGCTCTAACATTTTTTAACTGGTGGAAGGAACCCCTACAGGCTGAAAATTAAATTTCATACTGTGTTTTCTTGAAGACAGAGCATGTTTAAAGTGTAGAATGTGCAATAAGTATATTTTAAATGAAACAACCATTCAGAGTGGTTTGATGTGAAATGCTCTGTTCCACAGAAACGTGCTGATTCACAATAGTTCACAGATGTGGTTCACAGAAGCTTTTACTTGAAATGCATATGAATATGTTGCCTAAAGACTGAGACTTTGTTTTACAACAGTTTTGTGACAAATAGTGCCATTTCGTGCCATTATCAACATTACATATTAAAAATCGGTAGACACGTGTAGGTTCACTAGTCATTTTGGATAGTAAATGAAATGGCTATATTTACATTGTAGACATTGTGACCCCTGGTTCCCATTGCCAACGTTTGTAAAGAAATTTGTGTCATTAAGTTTGTTTACAAAGCATAATTTCTTACTCTTTCTCCACTCTAAATGAATTTGTTAACATTTTAGTGAATGAACTATTCAGAAATTCAGGGAAATGTGAGGAATTCCTCTTTAATGAATAATTACTCACGCTGCAGTACATTCTAATTAAGGTGTCAAAAAGGGTTATTTGAAGTGATGCCATAGAAGAACAACTCAGTTCTTTTTAACTGTTTTCCACCAAGTGTATAGAACCTCAAACTAATGTAAATGCTGCCAAGAACTTTATGTCTAAGACAAGAGACATTTGAGAACCTTGTAGAGGTTGAGTGCAGAATCAATGACCGATTAACATTAGCTTTGATTCATTGACTACTTACAACATAACTAGCCTTGAATTTTCCCTGTTGTGATACAAAGTTTGACCCAGGTAAACATAAGTAAACCATCAGCTAAATCAACAGTATTTGTGTGTATATTGTCAGATAAAAGTCAAAGCGCATCTTGGAAAAATGACCTGCACTAGTCATTATATTACAGCGTAAAAACTCTTCATTATAAATAACTTTTACATTATAAGCTTAATGCTGAAGCCCATTCCTGCCAGGCAGAGGAGAAGAGAATTGCCTATTCTTTTTCTCGTTCTGTTTCTGGCAGCAGTATGTCAAATGTTCAACTTAAAATAAAAAAATAGTGACTTACTATGTCAAAAATAATGACACAGTATCATGAAATAATGACTTACTATGTTAAAATAATTACTTGTTTTCTCTAATTGTTGACTTAATATCTCAAAATAATGACCATGTAAAAACAATACACTTTTAAAATTCAAAAAAGAAACTAGTTATTTTGGGCAAATAAGTCATTATTTTGAGATAATACATCAACATTTTGACATACTGCTGCAGGAATCAGCATTCCTAATCTACCTAGTGGGAGTGCGCTTCCATACCTAGCTCTCCCTACATGTTAATTAGTCAAAGTGGGCCAGGATTTGGATGGATGTCTTACCAAGATGAGATAAGAAGATTAGTATGAGATCACATGAAAATACACTCTCAAGACCTGCTATGCTGATCTGTGAACCATCACAGATCCTCCTTAAGCTTCTAAGCTTCAAACATTCATTGATTTCATTCATTCTGCCAATTGCTTTTTATGTACATTCTTATATAAAAGATGTAGGTCTTTGTGTATCACAACAATCATAATATAACAGCTGATTTCTAGTACACGTTTAGTGTATTTATTAAATCTAGTCGAACAAAAAAGTGCATAATGTAAAATGTGCTTGAGGAATACGCTGAGTTAGCTGTATTTTAAGTGAGGGTGGAAAGTAACAAATTGCAGATACTATTATTACTATGATTGAGTAATATTTTGTATACTTATGCTTTTCCATTCAGTGTTGTCATAAAAATAAAATACATTTCAAAACACTTAGAACAAAAGTTAGACACTAATCATATTCAGTTTCAAAGATCACACCAAAACCAGAATAAACAGGGGTGCAGATAATTCGTCAGATACTCTATTCTATGGCTCAATGCCATTTAACATTTTGAAAAGGTTATATTAAAATTTCAAAATACAATGAATAACATGGTATGACTCCTTTCCATCTAAGGCAAATGATGCTCCACCATTCACCTAGTTTTGTTATGCCATTATCCTGAACATAAAAGAATATAATAAAGCAATCATCATATTTTCTAAATAGCTTTTGCTTCTAGTTGTTTTACACCTATTGTAGACTGTATGTTTAGTCTGCTTAGTATTTTTCATAGTTAATCAAACGTGACACCTATGTAGAAATTGCGAAAATAACAGCTATTATGAATGGAACGCTGTGGCAGCACTTATGAAAAGTGCTTGGATACTAAGAACATAAGAGAACTATCTCTGCCCACATAAGACAAAATAAACAACTATGCAAGACTAATTCAACTGTGAATGTCTTATTATTTAAGGAAAAACAGCAATTTGATGTAAATACTACTGAAGTTCCTCCACTTGAATGGAACATTTCAGTACACATTCCACTTGTGACATCAAGCTCACTTCAACTATACTGAATCTGAATGATCTATGACAATATAAAGTTTTTGATAGCCCTTATGCACATGTATGAAAGT